AAAGAAAGAAAGAAAGAAAGAAAGAAAGAAAGAAAAAAAGAAAGAAAGAAAGAAGGTTGGAGTCAGACTGTGAAGAGCTCAAAATGTCCAGCTAAGGAGTTTGTATTTCATCCCAGAGACGATGAGAAGTGCCCTAAAGATTCTTGAGTGAGAATGACATGGTCAGGCCTGGGCTTTAGGAAGATTCAGTGCTTGCTGAACAAGGGACAACAGGCCCCCAAGGTGTACAGTCCTAAACTAGTTGTTTCCTACACTAAGTAAGGATTAGTTATGGCCCCTGCCCTCAGGAAGCTTCCAGTCTATAATAGGAAACCTACCCATTTCCATCATTATAATAATGGCCAGAGTATAAAGAGGAGAAGTGTGGGGATGCTGGTAGGCTAAAGAATAGACTAGATGAATTTATGTGGGGTGAGGATTTCTTAGAAGTCTTAAGCTTCTTCCTAAAAAAAAGCAGCAAGGGGCAGCTAGGTGGCGCAGAAGATAGAGCTCCAGCCTTGGAATCAGGAGGACCTGAGTTCAAATTTGACCTCAGACACATGATGCTTACTAGCTGTGTGACCCGAGGCAAGTCACTTAACCCCGGTTGCCTCACCAAAAGGCAAAAAAAAAAAAAAAGAAAGAAAGAAAGAAAAGAAAAAGCAGCAAGGAAGGAGGTCTGGCAAAAGAATGAAGGAAGGACAGTTGCTTCAGGCCAGGGGTGGGGAACCTGAGGCCTGGAGGCCACATATGGCCTCCCAGGTCCTCGGGTGCAGCCTTTGACTGAGTCCAAGTTTTACAGAACCAATCCTCTAATTAAGGGGATTTGTTCTGTGAAGTTTGGATTCAGTCAAAGGGCCGCACTTGAGGACCTAGAAGGCCACATATGACCTCAAGGCCAAAGGTTCCCCACCCCTGTTTCAGGCTAATGGAGCATCCTAAGCAAAAGCTAAGGCAGGAGGCAAAAGGAAACTGAACACCAAAGTAGGGCAGGAGAGGAGCAAGAGACATGGCTGGAGAGGAGAAGGCCAGGAAATGTAGGGGGACAGGCAATGTGGGGAAGCAACAGGAGGAATAGCTTTGACAACTGAGGTCCTGACAGCCTGTGAGGAAGAGGGCTATCTTTGGCCAACTTTAGAAGTGAATTGAGTTTTAGGTTGAATTATCCCTCTCAGGAGATGACTGGGACAACTGTAATATTATCTTTTATGAGTCCTTCCTCCTACCCCCTTTCCCCTTTGGGCAACCACTGCTATATCCTCCCGACTTTGTCCCTTTGATCACTGGCTAATTTTCAACCTCTCCTGCACTGGTTCCTTCCCTGCTGCCTACAGACATGCACAGATCTCCACCATCCTTTGAAAACAAGAAAAGACTTCATTTGATTCTACCATTCCCTCAAGTTGTCATCCTCTCTCTCCTTCCTTCTAAAACCAAACTGCTAGAATAAAGCTCTCTACCTCACTGCCTCCGCTGGCTGAGCTCCTGCTCCATTTTCAGCTTCTTGCAATCTGGCTTCTGACCTCACTCAAACAAAACCGACTTTTCTAAGGTCATCCCACGGCCTTTTCTCAGCACTTTGTCCTTGTTGACCTCTCTATGGCAGATACTCTCTCCTTCCTGGGTTTGAGTGCCGTTGCTCCTTCCAGGTTTTCCTCTTACCTGTCTGACCACTCCTTTTCAGTCTCTTGTAGAGGATTCTCATCCATATCCCAACCACTCTGTGTGGCTACGTCCCCAAGACCCTGTCCTGGGCCCTTTTCTCATCTTTCTATAGTCTCATTTGGTAAGCTTATCAGTTCCCATGGGTTCAACTATATTACCTTGAGACAGAAGACTCCCACCTTGAGACTACCCAGACCAAAAATGTCTCTTCAGGTCAGTGCACATTACCATGTGGTTCTGCTTGACATAATAATAACAACAATAAAATACTAAACTTTTATATAAGATTTATAAAGCACTTTACCTGAGATGTTCCATAATAACTTAATATGTTTACTATTATTATTATTATTTTTTTGCTTTGGCAATTGGGGTTAAGTGACTTGCCCAGGGTCACACAGCTAATAAGTGTCAAGTATCTAGGGTCGGATTTGAACTCAGGTCCTCCTGACTCCAAGGCTGGAGCTCTATCCACTGCGCCACCTAGCTGCCCCGTTTTCTATTATTAATATGTTAATATGTTTAAAATCAGGGGCCATTTCTAGTCGTCCTGATCTATATCTGGCCCCTGGACCCAGATGGCTCCAGAGGAGAAAGTGAGGCTGGTGACTTTGCACAGCCCTTCCTCACTTAAATCCAATTCACTTGCCTGTCATGACATCACCTCTCTGATGCCACGGTCCTTTTTGAGAAGGAAGGACAAACGACAACAACATTTAAAATAAAATTCATTATCTTTCTCCCTAAACCAATCCCTTCTCTAAACTTCACTGTTTCTATCAAGGACACCATCACTTGTTTCTAGTAAGGCAGGGTCACAGCCTCAGAGTCATTGTCCACTTTTCCTTTTGCCTCAACTCATACATCCAGTCAGTGGCCAATTGTCAATTCTAATCCCACAACATTTCTTGAATCCATCCCTGTGCCAACTCGCAGGACCAGCATCCTAGTGCATGAAGCCCCTCATCACCTCTGGACTAAACAATAGCTTCCTAATTTTTCATGCTGCCTTCAGTCTCTTGCTCCCCAATCCAACTTCCACACAGCTGCCAAATTGATATTCATAAAGGCCAGGTCTGATCATTAGACCATGGGTTCTTCAAGAACAGAGACTGTTTATTATACCTTTCTGTATCCTCAGCACTTAGCACAATGCTTGTAGGCCCTTAGTAAATGCTCATTGACAGGCTGATTGATCATACCCGCTCACCTAGCTCAGGAAGCCCTATTACCTCCTAAGATAAAAATAAAAATTATTTTGTTTGACATTTAAAGCCCTTCACAATCTGGTTCCAAGCTAATTAAATTTCACATTATTCTCCCTCATGCGATCAATCCATATTCCAATCAGATTAGCTTATTTTTAGAGCCAGAAGGAGTCTATATTTTACATTTACTTAATGTGTTCATGCTGTTTCCCTCTAACAGAATGTGAGTTCCTTGAGATCAGAGACTTTTTCAATGTTTTTATATCTTCATGGCCTAACACTGTGCCTGGCACATAGTAGGTAATTAATAAATGCCAATGGAATTGAACTGAATTGGGCCAAGGGAAAGAAGATATCTAATTAGCCAATGATTAAGAAGGACTTTAGCTCTAAAAATGGGAATCAGAAAAGACATTGATTTTTATTATAAATATTTGTTAGAGAAATTTAACTAATGTAAAAATAGTTGCCAAAAGAAGGCCAAAGGAGCCAATAAAATTCCTTAGCCAGCAACGCTTAACAAGCAGAGAGACAGGGCAGCCAACCGCAATACAAATTTAGAGTACAAACTCATTTGCAAAACATTACAGAAGCAGGTGACAGAAGATTAAAAACAGTATCACTTCAAAAACAAACAAACAACAAAAGGCAACGGATAGGGAAAAAATTCTAAGGGGAAAAAGAGTAGCACATGACCCAGTCAAACCAAATTATCACCAATATTAAACTGGAGGAAGAACAACAACTATATGCAGAATGGACAATATGTACAGAGTCATCTAGTGTTTCTACAGAAATCTACCCTCATCATCTCGTGCCTAGGACAGTGGCAGTAGGTACTTAATGGTATCTGGAGAAACAAAAATGGCACCTAAGAAGATGACATCAGAAAGACAGATTATCCCTCACCAAATCACATACTAGGGAGATCCATACTGGAGGGGCTACCATTACAAAGACACTCAAGAATCCATTTTAAAAAATATTTCATTGGCTAACATGACAAAATAGGAAAATTATAAATACTAGAGAAGATGTGGGAAAATTGGAACACTAATGCATTGTTGGTGGAGTTGTGAACTGATCCAACCATTCTGGAGAGCAATTTGGAACTATGTCCAAAGGGCTATAAAACTGTGCATACCCTTTGACCCAGCAATACCACTTCTGC